CAATATTAAATACACTCAAATATATACGATTTCATAGATACAAGTTACTAAGAATATACAAACTTAATTTTAGCTCATATTTGATTATACTAAATACTCTCTTTAGCAAAATACAAGTTTTATTCAGTATTGATAAGGAGCTAATCTCATTATAATCACTAAATTATTACGTTCGTGCAGATTACCTTTCACAAAATTATACTTGCAATATATATATAATATGTCTCAGTAGTCACAATACTATAACAATAATTAGAAAACAATGTAAACAAATTATAGTAGCTACTAATAGTATTCGATAGTATAACCAAAATTGAAACATACAACAAGAGAAAATAGTATCAGTAAACTGAAAACTTACACTACAGTATCTTATGATTGATGACCTATCTACTACACTCCATACAAATCCAAGAAACTCAAAAATAAAAAATTTCAAAATAAAGATCCTAGCAGACGAGCTTCCGAATTATCTGAAACTACATTACAGAAATCTGAAGAAATATAACTATATATGCTTAAGATGTAGAATAGAATCCGAAACAACAGTTTATCTACTTACTTGTAGATACAACTCTTGCACTTTAGAGCAAATTATCACAAAGACTTTAAACCATCTAGCAGAGACGAAAGAACTAACAATAAATAACCAAAATAGTTTTATTAACAAATTCATATATATATACATAATAAAAGGTCTCCTACTAGGCTATATCACTCAAGAAATACTTATACCAACTAACAACATCTTAACACAACTTAAATGGATACCAAAACTTGATCACGATATTCTTGTAGAAATATATGACAATATTTGGATCCTCAGTTAGACATATATACATTCTGAACTATTAGAATATGATACTCTAGAACCATAACTAACAAGAAAAAATACAAATGATTATCAAGCAGAAGTACTACGTTGGATAAATAATCATATAAAAAAAAATACACTATCTCCATATATAATTTACAAAGACTAGAGGTCTAACGGCTATACTAGTAAAGTATAGGCCGAGAGTAAACTAGCCTTTACTTCTATCTTTCTTAGAATAGTTAATAAATACATATAAAATGAAAATTTTTTAATTATAAATAAAGAGTTAGAGGAAAGATCTCACTTTAAAAAAAAAAAAAAAAACAAAAAAAAAAAAAAAAAAAAAAAGTATATAAAGAAATTTATAAACTAATAAATATACATAAAAGAATTTATTATTTGTATACAGAGAATAAGTAAATACTATAAAGTATATAAATATAATATTTATTGCTAATAAATCCAAATTCATTAAAAAATCTACTATATAAGATATAAATTAAAACTAACTATTAATTTATGAAAATTCATAATCATAAAAATCCACAACTCTTCCTGATGATCTTTAAAACCAAAATGCCAGAAAAGAAAAAAGACTTTTATATATATAAATATACTCTATCTTTAAACAAAATACTCACGAGTGAGACTGGAGAAACCAGAAGTTCAGTAAAATGTGTCTTTTCAATAAAGAGTAGGCTATGAGCTAGACATGGGTTATTGGCGCTTTTGAATATTTTATTATTTAAAAGAAGCTTTTGGAATATAGAAGTCACAAAAAGTTCTCGAATAGAGTCGAGTACAACAACTCTTTTTTTGCTTTTCAAGTTATTTTGGAATCACTTACTTTTTCTTCCTATACTACAAGCTGGTCTTGAGGACTGTTTTAGCAGTCTGGTGAATCTTGGAGTTTTTTTTTGAACAAAAAGTAGAAATCTAGCTTGCCCCCTACTAATGATCAGCACATATGTCATTGCTATTTTGAGAGTAGTCATATTGTTGTTATAACAACAAACATGTGTAGTCACGTTATAGTTTGGGCTATTACTTTAGGCTACGATATTCATGTAAATAAGCTCTACATATATGAACAAAAACCAAATAGACATATCAAAACTATATAGATATATACAAACAAGTGCAAATTGTATATATAATTTTTAAATACCCAGTCTGAGTTCTTATTCCTTGTTAGGTTAGGTTTAGAATTAGGACGCCTTTCTTTTCTTTTCTTTTTGTTTTGTTTTTCTTTTTTTTCTGCCCTTTGTTTTTCTTTAACTGTTTTAAGGTTTTTTAACTTGCTCGCAAGTTTTTCCTTAGTATAGTTTTAAACTTATATTATTATCTAGTATGTGCTTAGTGCTTTCACTAGATTTAACAATTTTATTATATTTTATATAGTCTGACTCCTATACAGTCAGATAAAATTCCTAGATTCTCTTTTTTTCTTTTATGTTAAGAAGTTGTTTCTAGTGCAACAGGTTACATCTGAATACACAAAGGAGTATCAGGTGGTACTTCTTATTAGGAAATGAAGAATAATATGTGAAGTTCTTTTTTAGACTAGTCATCTAATTGTAACTTCACAACTTCATAAATAAAGCAAGTGTGACTGTCAAAGGAAAAAAAAAAAACTATTAATTTATAGTTGACAAACTCAAATACATTACAAAAACTGACCAAATTTAAATATTAAACCTAGATCTTCTTTGCTAAAGAGCTTGTATCTATTCAAAATAAAATAGTTAAAAATAAAAGTTATTTAGATCTAATATAATAAAAATAGTTTAAGATGAAAATGTTTCTAGTTACTTTTACTCTACAATAATTTGATATAATCTAATAAACAGTAGATATATTTTGCCTTCTAAGTAAAGTTCATAAGAATACTGATTATTACTGATTATTTTTGCATAATGAATATAGACATTCTATCAAAATGAAAAATAACTTTTGTAGTGATTTTTTGTTAGTAAAACATTGTGTTCTCAAAAAGTACTTTAAAGTGTATAAATAAGTTACTCGAGCAATTGATTTACATCAGCTAATCAGACGAATATCCTCTTATGAATCTCCAGAGAAGAACATCGATCGTTATACAAACTATCAATTGAATAAAAAATTTATTTATATGTGTTACAATACTTTTTTCAGAAGTCCGAATAGATTATCTCATCTTTAAACTAGGCTTAGTATACTAAGCAAACTTGAAGCTTTCGTACTGTATTTTAAGAATATTAATTGAATCCCTTTGAATCCCACAGCTTTCATATTCAATTTATGCGACGAAGTTATATATAAAAAGTATACTATGTGAGCTAAGTTTGCAAGATTTTATTCTTCCGAATATAAAAAAATAAACTTAAAATACACGAAAGTAACAATTAGAAAAGGTAAGGTGAGTGCTAACGTTGTTTTATTGTATAAAACTTTTTAAAAAGCATAATAGATCTATATTATTATGGGTAACTAATTTAATATTATTTTTATTTTATTTTATGTAGTTGTTTAAGTCATTTAAATTTAATAAAACATAATAGGATATATGTATTAGATAGTAGAATAGTTATATAGTAGAATATTAAGCTTATATTAGATATAGAAGCACGCGTAGAGGCGAATACAATATATAGATTATTAAGATTTTGTCAATAATACTGAAATAATAGCGATAGTTAAAAAGTCTGTAAATTTGGTAAATAAACGATTCAGACTAATAAGTATATGTTAATTTACTTTGTGACAATGTTTATCGAGATTTATCTTTGAGCTTTGGATATAAATTTTTGCTTCGATTTTGCTTATTTTTCTTATTTTTTGAAACTTACGATTTTATTGGCTGATTTTCATGTGACATTACTTCAACATTCGTGTAAATCTTTTTTTAATTGGCTAAAAAGATATGCAAGGTCGGAATATCAATTTCCTTATTTGGGACGTTCTCCCTGGAGAGTCGTTCCCATCCCTAGTTCTGAATTATTTTATTATAACGGATATTCAACTATTCAGTCTCTATTGCCAATTACAAATTATTATATCTCGTTATAGAAACTCTTGATCTCGACATAATAAAGTTTTTTTCTATACCGTATAAAAATTACACAATATAATAAATTTACTAATAAAGCTCTCGATATAGTAAATTTTTATTACGATAATACGTACGTAGAACGGATTACTTTACTATAAAGAGAATGACTTGTACATATTATATAAAAACAATAACGATCTGATTTCGGAAGACGTATTTATTTCAAAATAAATGACTGATTTATAACCCGAAGCTTTTATTTATTTTCTGCATTGAAGATGTGTTTAAATTTCCAATTAAAAAAGTAATTTTCTCTGATTTTGAAATTTAAAAATACATTAACGTTAAGATTTTTTAAACTCTCACTTATTTTTGAAATAAGTTATTTGAAACACCCTAAATATAATAAATTGATTTATTATATAAATTATAAAATTAAAGCATGCTCTTTGGACATATTTTAAATTAGAAGCATTTCTTCTAAAATTTTTCCGTATTCTGAATTCAAGTGGTTTTTACTAAAGGTGCGGATGATGGGGTAGCTACCCAAATTTTATATGACGTAGAAAGGTAGCTACCCTTGACCTATGTCCGCACCTCTAGTTAATTTATTAACATTTTTATTCAATAATTATCTTATTTATAAAAAAGATTTATTATTATCCAATGCTTTACTATGATCAGTCTATAAAATAAATCAATTATTTTATAGTAAATATTTTTATATGATAAAATTATTGATCTTATAGTAAATCATTGAATAAAACTGTTATTGCATACTTCGCATGCAATAACTATATATTATCTTGCGGAATAAACCTTGTATTATAATATAATACTTGGAAAAATTCACTATCTGCTATATAATAAGGGTGTATGCAGTCAGTACTTTTCTATTACAGTACGAAATTTTTACGCTCCCCAAAAATCATTATTTTTGTTTTGAAACCAGCACTGAGTTATTTATTTGTTAATTAATGATGTATAAAAATTATTGCTTTGCTATATAATGTGGTGTCAACTCATTATCAATATTAAGTTAAATTACACAAAAAGTTCGTTTACCAATAATCCCTAAAAAATTGGGTAATTATATTAGAATTTTAAGTTTGATAATTATTTTTATTTTCTTATTTTACCGCTCGTAAATTTTTATATAATCTTATAATCACTCATACTAGGAGGAATTACCCTATCTTCTATTTCTTTGTGATCTTCGCCTTCTTCAATAACACCCCAAAATTTACTTGGTTCAGATCCCATCTGTAGTTCCATTATTGCGCCTTTAGAAATGTCTTTATGTTTAAACCAGGTTTTTTTCCATTCTTTACCATTTATTTTAACATTTTGGACATATATATTTATGTTCGTTAGATTATGAGCTATAATCGTAAATGTTTTTAACGGTGATGTTGAAAGGTATATGGTAACCTTGTCAAAACATGGGGAGTTTATTAGATAGATATCGGTCCCACCTCTATAGTTATAAAAACACAAATTTTAGTGATATTCTTGATACAAATTATATCTTTAAAAATTAGTAAACAATCCAATGGCCCAGAATTAATTATTTAATAGTTCGAAGATGGTAAATACAATTCCAATTATTTGGTGCTTAAATGAATACTATACTACAAACTATAAGATTCGTTTAAGTTAGAGATGATCGAAATCTGATCATAAATTCATGGGAAATCGGTATTAAACAAAGACAAAATAGATAGTCATTGTATAATGTCAATATCTCAAAAATAACAATCAACCATTCTCGAATCACAAAAATTAGATGATTTTTCGGGAATGACTGATCTTTTTCTTGCAATTTATGTCTTAAATGAATCCTGATCCAAAAATGGGCTAGACAATCTGTGGTTATTGGAAGCTTCCGACTTATTATCTCGAAAACAGCCAATTTGTTTTCGATGATTTTGACCTTAAACGAATCTTAATATTTTGCAAGCTAAAATAATTGAAAATTACAGCCATTCTCAAAAATAAAAGATATAAGCCGTACATTCTATTTTCCGAGACCACTGTATTTTATAATAAAATAAAATTACCTACATTGGAAATATCCCAATAGCATTAAAAGCATACCAACTTCCCATCGCACCGGAATCATCATTTCCTATCAAATTAAAAAAAAAGTTCTTTTATAAATATATTTTAATTGATAAGAATGATCATATTTTAACGCAAATTTTGTCAGCTTGAAATAACGCGCATGGGCGTTATTTTGAAAATTCCACTTTTTTGAAAATAATACATTTGACTCACAATAATGCCCATGCGCGTCCCAAAATAACGCGCACCCATACATAGTAATTCTAACTCCATAGATTATATTAATTTTTTATCTTTATTTCGAAATAACACGCATGCGCGTACCCGAAATAACGCGCAAGTACTCAAAATAACGCGCAGGTGCGCGTTATTACGTGGTTAGTGTTTCGGGCGAATTATATATTTCGTCCGGGTGAAATTTCCGAAATAGGGCGAAATATATTTCGCCCAAAGACCTGAAATCCGATAATTCTGAAACTGGCAAATGTCCGAAACCTGGCGAAACCGAAATGCCCGAAATCTATAATTATAAATTTGATTTTTTTTTTTTTTTTTTTTGGAAAAATATCCGAGTAGTGAAACGGAGTTAAGAGTCTCGGTCAAAGCTCCGTCTAATTGAATGATGTGAACAAATCCCAAAAAACACCAAAAATTCTCGATGACACAACATTTCAACCAATAGAATTTTACGCATATATAATTTTTAAAACCTTGAGAAAAAAGTCTTGACAACTACTTGACCAAATTTGATAAAATTTTTCACAAATTCATTAAATTCCCAATTAAAAAAATCATCGAATTTGGCCAGATAGTAGTCGAGATATCTTGCACAAAATTTTAAGAAAATTTAAATCTCAAAATATTGTGCAAGTTTTTTTAAACTTTGAGCGAAGATATCTCAACACCTACTTGACTAAATTCGATGAAAAATTTTTTTATTTAAATTTTAAGAATATTAAAATTAAAATAAAAATTTTTTATCGAATTTGGTCAAGTAGTTATCGAGATAACTTTACTTAAAGTTTTTAAAAAAACTTAAAAACGTCTATCAAAAACATAAAGGCTGCGCTAATTTTTTTTTTTTTTTTTGAAGCTTTGAGTGAAAAGATCTTGACACCTACTTGACCAAATTCGACTAAAGGTTCTTGGAATTCAAATAAAAAAAAGAAGTATAGAATTTGGTCAGGCAGTTGTCGAGATATCTCCGCTCAAAGTTCTTAAAATCATCCAATCAAATAGAGCTTTGGCCGAGACTTCTTCAATTTTAGATTTCTGACATTTCGCCAAGTTTCGCCCATTTCGGAAATTTCGGATTTATTTCGCCTTTGGGGAAGTTTCGGTTTCGCCTTTCGGATTTTGAAAATGGATTTCGCCGAAACACTATATACGGTATAACATTTTTATTTTACAAACCTGGAATCCCATCCTGTCCAATTCCAAATTTAGTTTCCATAATATCTCTAATCACTTCCACGCTTTTATATTGTACTCCAATAAAATGATATAAACAAGCATGAAAAAAGCTGGGTTCATTTCCTATATTGAAATAACCTCCTAAAAATGGTTTACTGCCGGATGCATTACTGGTGAATGTTATATCAAGTCGTTCTTCAAAGCGTTTCGGACCTCCTGATAATTGTATTAGCCTTTTTACGTCTTATTTATTTGCAAATAGTAAAACCAAAAAAGTAAAGAATGTTAAAAGAAATAATTCAAAATATTACTTGATTCTAAAAGAAAAAATTAATTACGCACCAAAAGGTATATCCAAACTATATTCCCATGAAGAACCTTCATAAAATGAATACCCATCACGAACTAAATTTTGACCAGATGCCCATTTTATATCGAATGATCCGTTTACAAATCTCGGTAGGATGAATCCCTCCACTCCTTTTTGTTATAAATTATCGAATTGGAAGAGTCAAATCTAAATTTATTTTTAAATATGAAATTATTTTAAAATATAAGAATAATATATATTCACCATCATAGGTTATATCTGGACACCAAAGATTTTCCCAACTAGTTGCACGATTTCTGTATTTTATATAATCATTTCTTTTACCTAATCCTTTAAAATAATCAGATTAAAAATTTAAATTAAACATATATATCATCATAAATTAATGATAAATAAGCTTTAGTTACCTTTGGCAACAAGACTAATACTATAATCATTTGCACTATACTCTAAAGTTCTACTACACGGAGAGTTAATATATCCAACTTTGCGATCATTAGGAGAAGGAATATATCCATATTTTTTATAATCGGTTAGGAATAATCGACCTTGGAATAAACCTTGTTCCCATGGATCCACCTCCGCATCTTTAATCAAGGCTTCGTATGCAATGTTCCAATCTATTTTGGCATTGACATCTATCTTTTTTAAGTATGTTTCGGCCTATGAAAATAGAGAGAATTGATTAAAAAACATCTACGTATTAAATTAAATTAATACATTGCAACATTCCAATATTTTTATATGCCTATACAGTATGCCGAAATTATCTTCAGCTTCTTGCTGAAATTATTTTCGACTACCGTAATTACTTTAATTGCCGTAATTATTTTGGACGCCGTAATTATTTAGAATACAAGTTTATTTAGTCTACTTTAACATTATAAAAATTATTATAATGCTAAAGTTTATTGAGGATTTCTTCACTAACAATTTTACATAATTAATTTTTCGGTATCCTAAATAATTTACGGTTTAGGCATATATTTATATATACATTTATATATACACTTACAACAACCATATCAGCATTAGATCCACCTTGAGTAATCCCATTCCACGAACC